CTGTAAGAAGCCACAGCATTTTTTAGTTTTATAGGTGAAGCAGGCTAATGTTGAGCTAACAATGCTAACAGTTTGGGATGTCCCGTTCCAATATCAATATCGAAAGTAATTCGATATCGGCCCAAAATCACTGTATCGGATTATATCCGACTACATCAAAAATCTCCGATATCAGCAATCCGTTAAGGTTTGCATTTTTGCACACAATGGTTAAAAGTTAAATAAAGATTATTAATAAACAAAATTGGAAGGAGGTATACGTCAGTGATGTCAACGCTGCATACACATCCTTCATGAAAATACTGTTGAGCTCATATAACGATAACTGCAAATTAATCAAATCTACAGGTAAAAAGGAAAATCAACCTTGGATGACTAAGGGATTAAAGAATGCGTGTGCAAAAAAGAATAATTTATATAGGAGTTTTTTTTAATTGCAAACAAGGGAAGCAGAAGATAGATATAAAAAATATAAAAATTAATTGGTAACAATAATTAGGAAGTAAAAAAAGATTATTATGGTAATCTATTGAATCAGAATAAAAACAACACTAAAGCTACTTGGGGAATACTAAACAGTGTGACAAATAAAGAGAAAACAAAATCCAGTATTCCAAATCACTTTGTCAAGGACAAAAAAGATATTTATGATGATAAAGAAATCACTGATGAGTTTAAGGATTTTTTTTGTAAATGTAGGTAGGAGTTTGATGGAGAACAAACCAGTAATAGAAGATAAATTGACCACTATTAGTACTGTCAGTAGTATTGTCCTTGACAAAGTAGATAAAGAAGAAATATGAAACATTGTAAAAAACTGTGGAAACAAACGATCAACCGATTATCAGGACCTGGACATGATAACTGTTAAAACCATGATAGAATCTGTCATTGAACCATTCACTTACATTTGTAATCTATCACTTTCTACTGGAAATTTTCCTGACACATTGAAAACAGCGAGTCATTCCTTTGTACAAGAGTGGTGATAAACATAGTTTCAATAATTACAGGCCAGTGTCACTGCTTCCACAGTTTTCTAAAATATTGGACAAAGTATTTGTATCAAGGCTGGATAAATTCATCGAAAAAAATAATATTTTAAACAATGAACAATCTGGGTTTAGAACTAAACATTCCACAGCAATGGCAATAATGGAATTAACGGATAAAATATCAACAGCAATTGACAATAAAAATGACTTTGTTCGTGTTTTCATTTATTTGAAAAAAGCTTTTGATGTCATTGATCACTCAAGGTTACTTCGAAAATTAAGTCAGTATGGAATAAGAGGTGTGGCTCATCAGTGGGTTAAAACTTATTTAGAAAAAAGAAAACAGTTTGTTCAGATAAAGGACCAAAAATCAAAATTATGTGAAATTCATTGTGGAGTGCCACAAGGGTCGGTCCTCGGACAAAAACTGTTCATTTTGTTTATTAACGACTTGGTAAATGTATCTAAGACACTCTGTACCATTCTATTTGCAGATGATGGTTTTACTTAGGATCAAATATTGAGGAGGTGGCTAAAGTGCTAAATGATGAACTGATTAAAATTAAAAACTGGTTTGATATAAATAGATTGACACTGAATCTTAATAAAACACATTTTATACTTTTTAATGATAAAAAGAAGAGTGATGTATCCTTGCAAATAGATGGGATTGCAATTCAAAGAGTAAAAGAAACTAAATTTCTTGGAGTTCTTATTGATGAAGACTTGACATGGAAATCCCATATTCATAGGCGTCAGTTTAACCGGGGACACCGGGGACATGTCCCCGGCAAAATTTGTGATTGGCAGCTGTGTCCCCCCCACTTTAAAAAAAGCCTGCTGATGAGGATTTTTGTTTTACCAGCTCAGATCTTATACCAGGGGTCGGCAACCTGTTCCCATCAAAGAGCCATTATTACCCGTTTCCCACAGTAAAGAAAACACCGCAGTAGCCGCAGCGTTGTGGGCGGTGCCTACCCTCAGACAGCAGAGAGCTGCTCACAACCAGGTGACAGCAGCAGTCGCTCGCATGGGCGTCGCACCCGTGGGGGATTCAACGCCCACACTTTTCCAGCTGTTTTGCTCACCTCCACACCAGTCTGGTTTCTTTATGTCGCACACTCACTCTGTTTGCCTCATCTCCTTCTTCACCTCCACTTCTGACAGCCAATGTCGGGTTTCCAGGAGAGCAGGAGAGGGAGGGACGGAAGAGCTCGACTGAATTCATAATTTTACATCTTGACATTAGCTGTACAAAGTCTGAGTTTGATAAAGTGAAGAACAACAATTTGCAGAGGTTTATAACAGGCGCGGCGCCAGGTTTTCATTTTTGGGTGGGCCACGGTAATTTTGGACGGACCTTAATAAGCAGTGACTTAAGTGAAGCAGGCAGGTCGCGCTAGAAAATTTCGTTTAAAAATACGTCAAAAATGTTTTACCCCGTCATTTTTATTTATAAAATATGAAGTAAAAACTCCCAGTTTAATTTTCATTCATTTGTCATTAATATGTAGTCTACACCCGTGCGTTAAGTGGACCATCTTCCAGTAAAAGCAAAGCATCCAGCCCATCTCTCCAAATGCGTAAAATATGCACCACAGCCGTTAGGCGCGCCGCGCGCACCGTCAGCTACATCAGCCCAGACAAGAGCAGAGCAACTAGAATAGAGGATCATTCTGTCTGGATGTGGATTGAGATTACATTTTACAGCAGCCTGATCATCATTTGAATAAAACCATCACCTGTCGTCTAGTCCATGCTATCAGCATTATTTTAATTGGTGTGTGTGTGTGTGTGTGTGTGTGTGTGTGTGTGTGTGTGTGTGTGTGTGTGTGTGTGTGTGTGTTTGTTTTCCACTTCCAACACTGGTCTAACCAACCAGACCAGCATGTCCAGTAACATATTAATGTTACAATTAAACAGTTTCACTTCATGTAGGCTAGGAACATTTCACCTGTCGTGGCCCGACCTGCTCCACATAAACTTTGTGCGTGATCAAATGTCTCTACAGGTGCTTTCTGCGCTGCTATTCTGCCTCAGACTGGATGCGTCATGCGTCTCCATATTATAATATGGAGACGCATGACGCATCCAGAGACGGGGAAAAGCGCTGTTCAGCCATAGTTTAATAATTTCATAAAAAGAACATTTTTCCAAGCTCATCCATGCGCATCAGTGTGCGTCGGGGTAATTCTTTCAAAACAGCCAGCATCCTTGAGTTTATCCATCAAAATACAGTCAAATGGAAATATCTGTAACCTGTCATTTAACTGTTTTACCTTCTTGTGAAGATTGTTGCAAAGAGAAACAACTAAACCTGATTAACCCCAGAGCCACGCGCACTGCGCTGTACGTCGTGACTGTAAATGAGGGGAAACGATTTAATCGGATCCTTTTCTCTTCAACATGGTTTAATGTAAAGTTTCATTCAGTACAAACTTTAGTTACACCAATCTAACGAGACAGAGCCTGGATTTGTATTCTCAACAGTTTAAACATGTTTAAAACGGAGACATGCGTGACGCGTCTAAAATTCACACCTGCTCCGCTATTATGGAAATTAAACTAACAAGGTGAATAACATCAAATTATTTTAGGCACAGACAACATCTCCCACGCGCCTGGTCGCTCGTGTACGTCAAAGTTATCTTTCATAAGAAGATAATCAATAAAACGATTTATATAAAGATGATCCAGAAGCCCGTCTCTGCCTACAATATTTTGATATTTTTCACCCTGTTGGTGGTTTTATGAGCAGGTACCACTTTTGTCATACGTTTCTTTTAAAAACATGTTTAGACTGTTCAGAATACAAATCCAGGCTCTCAGAACCAGAGCGCATGCAGGAAGGTTCCTCCCTGAAGCGAGTGTTTTCCAAACCCTGTCTCTCAGAGACTTGTCACTTAGAAAATGTTCCCTGATTATGAAACTTTGGCTGAATAGCGCTTTTTCCTGTCTCCAATGTGGCGACGCAGGAGCCGTCTGAGGAGAATCCCAGAATCTGACATCCTCCAGCTCAGGAAGCGCATATGATTACGCACAAGCGTGACCCGTCAACCCGGTCTCACAGGACCGGGTTGACCTGTTCAAGTTTACGCAGACAATCTTTACATTTAGAATTAGCATACAGATGTAAAATTAATGCAGTAAAATATAAAGCTTTTTATTTAAATATCGATTCATTATTTTACAAGCACAGAGCATCAGATGGATGGAAGAGCCGCATCCGGCTAAAGAGCCGCTGACCCCTGTGCTAGCCTACTTTATTGTCCCCAGCAATTTTTAAGCCCCACTCAAGTGTATGGTTATTGTCCCCAACAATTCTGAAACCAAACTGACACCCTTGCCCATATTAGTTACATAAAAGGTAAAATAGCCAAATCCTTAGGAGTATTACATAGAGTCAAGTTTTTACTGACTAATTCTGGTTTGTTGGCATTGTACAATTCACTGATTGTTCCATACTTGACTTATTGTGTAGAAATCTGGGGAGCAACATACAAAAACTATACACAACCCTTATTTATTTTACAGAAAAGAGCTCTGAGAATCACCAGTTATAGTGGCTGTAGAGATCCATCAAACCCATTGTTTATTAAATATAAATTACTGAAATTTCATGATTTAAAAGACTGGAAAATCTTACAAACCATGTATAAAGCCAATTTAGGTACTCTGCAAGCAAATATTCAGGGGATAATTGAAAAGAGAACTAGTAATTACATGCTGAAAGAAACTGATGTGTTTACAAAACCTAGATTTAGAACTAAAATTAAGGAGTGGAATATATCTGTAAATGGTGTTTAGTTATGGAATAACCTTAAAAGGGAAACTAAAAAAACTCTGTCATTTAATATATTCAAAAAATGTACCAAATTGAGTGTACTAAATAATTGTGAAAATGTAAATTAAATCAATGATCATGATAGCACTGGAATTTAGAACAGGAAAAAGTTTTAAATGAATCTGTATGTGTGTCTGACAAATGGTAATTATATATAAATAGATTATTTCTTCTGGAAAAGGGGGTAGAAATTATAAGATGTTTTTCTTTATTCTGCTCCTTTTCGTTCAAATTAGATTTTTTTGTTATGTAATTCTTATTGTTTAGATCTTTTATTTGTTTTTATTTTGAATGAAATAAAAAAAGAGAAAAAAATCTTTTTTTCATACTTACTTTTATTGAATCTTGTTCTCCAATTGAGTAAAATCACTCACTTAAGCCTTTCGTGCATTCCACACTACAAAATATATAAACATATGTATGATTTTTGCTAATAACCTATCGGATTGATATCTGTATTGATCAATACTGAAGGCTACAATATCGGTATCATATCGGAAGTAGAAAAGTGGTATCGGGACATCCCTACTAACAGTGAATTAGATGCAAAAATTCAGCTCTCAAAATATATCAAGCCACTTTTCCAATGAACCGTGAAATGTATGTGTGAAGTGAATAATTCAATTGTGGCATTTTACTTCCTTTAATGAGTCGATCAGAACTATAACAGCAAGCTAAAAGCAAGATGGCAAAAAACACTTCCTCTAATGCTGGAGACAAATTACCGTAATAAGTGTAGTAAGTTCTCCCTACCGTAAAACACCCAAGAGCGCAAACACCAGTTATGACAATTTATTTATCTACTAATCAACTTTTTGTGTATGACTTGTGTTCGTTTGTCATCTAGAATCTTCTGGCGCTGATCCGTAACTGGCAACTGCCATGAGTCCCACAGAAAGATGTGAGAAAATAACTTTTTGCAGAGAAAAATTGCCTGCAGTAACCTAATTTGACCACAGGAGGTCATTCTTACTAAATTCTTACATATTGCACCTTTTGGCCAGAGTTCATGTCTTAGCTAAGAATAAGAGACGGGTGGAGTTAGGTTTGGATTTACTGCTGAAGAAAAAATAAACACAAAGCCCTGTTTCACATTTCCCAAAAATATACTTGACGGCTTCAAGATCGTTTGGGAAAATCATTTTAATCCCTAAAATAATGTTCTCCCCTGTTCAAAAATAAGTGCGTTCTTGGTATCAAATTGCGTCCTTAAAGTTCACGGACATCATTTGTGACATCACATAACAACCGGCATTAGAAAATAACGTTTTTAGGCAGATTGACTTGCATTAATTTTTTTTCCTTCTTCCAGGGAGCCCAGAAGTAGATGGGCATGACTAAAGCTTGGTTTATGCTTGACGCATTTACTTTCCGCTTGGTGATGCGGCTCGCGGATGGAACGCGCTTCACAACTTGCAGCGTTTATGGTTCATGCGGCTTGTCTCTGCGGTGAGCCAATATTCTCCCAAACTGTAGGGGGCAGCATGGAGCTCTACGGCATGCACCTAACACTACACCATAGTAGAAGTAAAAATTACTGTCGTTTACAACATGGCATTCCAGCATTTTTTAACAGCGTCCTCGTCTTTTCCGACAGTGTGAGCTATTTCTCTCCAAGAATTATTAACATGTTGATCACGGTGATCTCTGAGAGCTGAATCATACAAATGTCTGTATTCACGAACCTCTGCCATACTAGTTCTTGCCAGTCCGCCATGTTTTTCCGTGTCCGACCGTCCGCGTGGTTAGAAAATTTCCTAGGTGCGCGGTGCGGAAAGTTTGGCTGTGCGGAGGCGCGGTTGTTAAAATGACGCAACTGTTCCGCGCGGAGCCGTGCGGACGCAAGCATAAACCAAGCTTTAGGCTCCTTAGACTGACCTGCAGAGTAAAATCTTTCTAGGCTACCCCTCCAATGCAGCTGAGTTAAAATAATTGGTGACAACTGTGACTAAACAGGTAGAGTGCTTGTCGCATGATCCAAAAGTCATAAATTCAATCCCCCATCCCGGCAGGCCATGTGACGAAGCATCCTGGAAAAAATATTTTCCCAAGATCAAAAAAAGTATGAGAAAAATAAGTTATTCTGTTAAGAAAAGTGCTACGAAATTCCACAGCTCTGTATTTTAATACGTTTGTAAAAGTGTCAAAGATAAACAGTCTTCTGAAGCCTTGCCAACAGTTAAAAAAGACTAAATTGATTTCATATCTTGATTTTTTTACGTTGCCAAGCAACCATTCCATTCTCCTTCTGACTTCAGAGATAAAATCGCTTTTCCTGATCTCATCAAGCCGGGTGAATATTTGCAAAGCAATACACTTATTATGTTGTGAGGCAGAATGATCATAGCGAAAAATAAATCTCTCATTCGACTGTTCTGACAGCGTTTGAACAGACTTCTGCATAATAAGTGATGAAAGGCAGCATCCATTTAGCGCGCCGCACTTCACTCAAGGCCGAGCGGCAGCTATTTCCTCGTTGCTGCAAATCAAGCTTTCAGTCTTGGATTTTTATGTTTTATTGGATCTGATCACGCTCGCCATGGTGAAATACGCATCCGTCCACATCCTGGTCTCTTTTTTTTCCTTTGAATTTCCACACTGATCCAAAATGAAAAAAAAAAAAAACTAAAAACTCTGGAGCTTAATTGCAGCTGATCCACAAAACTGTAGCATAAATAAATAGATACCCTCCACACCTGCCTTTCTTGGCTCAGAGTGCGGTACAAAAACAGCTGTGGCCGCCCACATAACCTCCATGAGAAATGACGGCACTCGTGTTTGATGAAACTGGCGTCCGATAATAGACGATCACGTGGGTGTGAGAACGGAGATGAGGTGAAGGAGTGATGATCTCCGCAGACTCACCATATCGATGGATGACACTGGCCCGATGCTGTTGACGTATATGCCCACATCGATGACCGTCGGTTTCTCTGCAACGAGCCAGAGGACAGAAGCATGAGCACAGACAGAAAAGCCGAGCTTCTCAGCACGTTTTAGACACTAAACGCATGAATAATCAAGTCAAAACAACCCTTTTCATCGTTCACATTATACAATACGAAGTCAATTTATTCCTTTTTGGATGAAGGCAGAGTCATCAATCCACCTTCAGGAGAAGAATTCACACTTTGGAAGAAGAAAAGGCTCTGATGTGCTTCATGGACCTACTCCAAGGCAGGTAATAGCATTTTCATTCAGGACGCAGGATCTTGGCTTCATTCTCTCAGCATCGTTGGGCTTTAGAAAGTGGAGACTGGCATGAACACAAGACACACGTGTTGGGAAAAGCCTCATGTAAAGGCAGCAAACAATATTATTCTCACATGGTGTATTTTCATGTGGTCCTTTAGATGTTCAGGCCCTAATACAGCTTCTAATAAAAAAGACCCAATGCAAGTGTGCTAAAATCAACCCAAAGTATACCGAAATGCTAGCTAATCAGAGTAGCTGCTAAAAGTGTGGAGAATGCAACAGGAACTCTTAAATGTGTTTTCTTTTAGGCTGTACTGTCCTGGCGGTGTGAAGCAGACAGAATGGTTGATCCGGGTGACTTTATAAGCCAGAGCCGTTTTACTCTACAGCAAGAGGCATGTGGGATGTTCCTCCTGTTGCACCGTAGCCTTTAGTATGTTTGCTATAATGCTAGAGCGCATTAGGTTACATACCGGAGTGGACAGGTAGGGAGAAAAGAGACGTACAACACAAACGGGGAAAAATGAAGGGAGAAAGAGAGGAACAACAGTACACCACAAACACAGGCAGGAAAAACAGTGGGGTCATCATAATAAAAAAGGAAAAAAATCTACAAGAATAAATGGAATAGGAAGTTTTAAAGGAATACTAAACAGCTTTGTTTGCTTTTAGCACCCCCTAGTGTCCGTTTGTAGATGTGAAACTATTTCCTCGCTGTGCGTTCGTGTTTTTAACAAGAGCTGAAATGTCTCCCAGCGTTTCTAAGTGTCTATAAAAGTGATTCTTCACTAAATTAAACAAATCAACTTGGTTCATGATCTAAAACATGCAAGAAATGTGCTGCAGCCAGACAGCAGCGTCGGGTAGGTCCGCTTAATTAATTAGGTTAATTTTCCCAATGTCAGAAAAAAAGACTGAAATGCAAAGAGTAACATTCAGACCGAACCGACAATTGTGAAGTTGCAAGTGTGATACTCTGGCCACAGGCGGTGATAGGGGCTGGGTGGCCTTTCATTAACCCTGTAAAGGGTCATTTTAGTACATTCTGGCTCAGGAAAATGATTTAAAATGTGAAAAAGTTGCTAATTGTCCCTTTAAATGGTTTGATGTGTGTGTGGGGGGGTGGGGGGGGGATCGTTATCGATTAGTGGGTATTTGAAATTGGATTTCTTTTTATACAATTAAAGCTACGAGCCAGCTTGAAACATTTTTATGCTCGTAACAACTTTCTAATTCCTAATTTATACATCGGGACAGACGCACGCAACGCCATTATCCGTCCATTTGAGGGCTCTTCGCCAGGCTCGCAAGGACGGATGAAGTCCAGCTCTCTTTTCTAAACATCCATCCTTCAAGATGGAGAACGCAAGCTTGTGATTGGTCATGATGCCATTGTCGTCTACAGCGCCGCCGTTGCGCCTTAAAAAACATAAAGAGAGCAGAGGATATCTAGCAGCAGACACGGAGAAGATTGGCAAAAACCTCACGGCAAAACTCTAAAAATATGAACGTTTTACTCACTCGTGACTTGAGGAGTAAAAAGATACGCGGCAAACGTTTTATTTGTGGATGGAAATAATGGAAAACACTGGTTTGGAGGTGGCGAGTGCATGAAGAGGTGGAGGAGAATGAGGGACAAATTTGTCCATGTTAAAAAGCATCTTAAATACAAAAAAAAGACAATATAAACACTAATTTGGACCGGATACATGATAGGATACCACAGACCAGCACTACACCCTCTGTTGTCCTGGCGGGGAATTGCTTTGCGACATTCCCCAGGAGACGGAGAAGTACAGATTAGGCTTAACAGTATAGCTACAAATATATTAAGACAAGTTAAAAAATGAAAAATCTAATGAAGTAGTTCTCTCGAATTTGTCTAATGGTAAATGGCCTGTATTTGATACAGCGCCTTCTAGAGTCCTGGAGCCCCCCATGGCGCTTTACAACACAATCAGTCATTGACACATTCACACACTGGTGGGGATGAGCTACAATGTAGCCACAGCTGCTCTGGGGCGCACTGACAGAGGCGAGGCTGCCGAGCACTGGCGCCACCGGTCCCTCCGACCACCACCAGCAGGCAACGTGGGTTAAGTGTCTTGCCCAAGGACACAACGACAGTGACAGACCGAGCGGGGCTCGAACCTGCAACCTTCCGATTACAGGGCGAGCACTTAACTCCTGTGCCACCGTCGCCCCTATTTATGTCTTATGAAGATTTGTCTTCTGATGAAAAGAGAAAATACCATGTAAATCACAAGATGATGAAATTAACAATCTGTTCAAACAACATCCAGTTTTCAGAAGAAATGGAGCACAGTCATCTGCTCTGAGGTCAGGGATGAAGCATAGCATTGCATATTTACAGACAGCTGCTGTCTGGGCCTTTGTCCAGACTGCAGATAGCTGTTAGTCAGAACTAATTAAACTAATATTGTTTTTTTTTTCCACCATAATCAGTGAATGTTGTGATGGATCAGATCCTCTCACCGAGTAAAGTTCTTGTCTTTTTATTAGAGTGGCTCAATGTCAAAGCCAGACTCTCGAACTCGGGATATTTCTCCATATTTACTACAACGTTCTGGTTTTTTATCCAAATCAATGACGCCATAATGGTTTAAGATTCCTAGCTAAACTAATGTTTGGAAAATCATGATCTGTCCTCTGTGAGCTCCCATGGATGTACCAAGTTTCAGTGCCGTTAGAGAGGTCCCAATCGACTGTTAGGTGTTGATTACATTTCTTTTTTCCGCTTGATGGAGATTTGACATGGATTTTAGAGATGGAAAAAGCCACAACAGGACTTAACTGTACAGTGGAAGTTATATTTAAACAAAAGTGGAAAAAATACTTGAATAAAATAGCATCAAATGGAAAATAAGAACTGCCACAGCCTGTGCTAATGCCTTAAAAGTGTCACAGATGTAAGCTTTTGTAAGTAAATAAAAGATGTACAACACCAACACTGTTAAGCCCCACAGTCCCGAACGTTGTTGCAGGGCTGCCAACTTTTGAACATTTCAGAGTGAGACGGGGTCATGGGGTTGGGAGCGGACAATTTGCCAACCGTTTAGAGCGTGAGGGGCGGGAGGAGGGGGGATATTAATATTCAGACTTTTGTTCTCTACATTTTATTTATTTCTACTCTGTACGAAAGAGGATGAGAGCCACTGACAAGAAATAAAAAAACGAAATGAAAGAGAATTCTTACTTTTTTCTCAGAATTCTGACGGGGAATTCTGGGGAAAAAGACTGAATTCTCTTTCTTTTCTTTTTTTTTCTCTTTTCAGTGGCTCTAATCTTCTTCCATACCTCTGACTTTACTGAGGGAACTGACCTTTGTTTAATACAAATTTTCTTTTTGTGAGAAAAATTTAACATCCAACTCACCTGAACTTCTTCACATCTGTCTGTCTGTCTGTCTGTCTGTCTGTCAGCAGTAAAGAGTTACAGCTACAGGAACTTTTAATTATAATTAATGTAAATGATTTAAATTCCATCTAGGGGTGGGCAATATCATGTCATTCATAATATTACCAGTTATTATTTCCTGCCAAGAAAAAAAATCTATCATGTTCAGCTAACTTCATGATGTAGTTACATCCACTAAACAGACGATTATGTTCATGTGGGTCATCAGCAAGAAATTATTGAAGTTATCAAAGCAAACATGGCTGGAATCAGTTTATTGTAATCTGTGTCTCTAAGTGTGTGTGCTGCTGTAATGAGTGGATGTCCTCACTGTGGGACTAATAAAAGTTACTCTATTCCAGTGGTTCCCAATATATATATATGTCAGACGTCACACTAAACAGACACTCGAAAGACAGGGTTACAAAAATATGATCAACCTTTTTCCCCATCACTTTCATTTTTTTAAATAATTATTGATAAACATTCAATACCGTTACAATTTCCTTTGATTTTATTTTAAATAAATATTTAGTGCCCAGGTAGCACATAAACAATGCAATTTAACGGTTTTCTTAAAGCAGGAACGTTTAACCAGAGCTCTCTCCTTCCTTCTGCTCTGCGTAAACCTGAACTGATCACCTACTTGTGCGTAATCAAATGTCTATAGAGAAAAAGATGGAAACGATATAGCCACGAGGTTCACTTTTGCCTCAGACTGACTTATTGCTGTTTTATGGTGTGGCTGAATCTGCGATCCGCTGCCACGCGGACCGGAATAACAAATGATGCAGTAACATGAGTTGTGGTCAGGTTCAGGAGGAGTCACTGGCTGGAGCGGACTCGACTTTAATACGTCATCCCAAAATAGAAGCTAATATCTTAATATGACCTGGAATGAAAAATGTTGTTAAAACCTCTTAAAAGTTTTTATCACAGAGGAGGCAGCGCTCATTTCTGCCTTCAGTCTGACGGCACAGCGCAGCGTGCGCTTGTTGAATCAGTATGTGTGTGTGTGTGTGTGTGTGTGTGTGCGCGCGCGGCACAGCTCCATGAGCCGCTCCAGTCACCGCGTCTCGTTATTGGCGCTATTTAAACCAATGTTGTAAAATTACTTCTGCCCAGCCCAGATGTGCTCACATGTGCACCCGTGAGCCGTGGTTCCGCTGGAACGCGTCTGACCTCTGACAGACGCACTCTGAACTTCAGATCTTCAGCGCGCTGTTAACAGCCTGACACGTTTAGAATGCTGTCCCACAGTCAGTGTGCTAATATAATAATATAATAATGCTAAAATGCTCAGATGGGAACCATTTCTTGA